TGCTGGTGGGAATGTAAATAAGTTCAACCATTGTGGAAAGCAGTATGGAGGTTCCTCAAAACACTAAAAATAGAAATACCATTTGACCCAGGAATTCCACTTCTAGGAATTTACCCTAAGAATGCAGCAGCCCAAATTGAAAAAGACAGATGCATCCCTATGTTTATGGCAGCACTATTTACAATAGCCAAGAAATGGAAGCAACCTAAGTCCATCAGTAGATGAATGGATAAAGAAGATGTGGTACATATACACAATGGAAAATTATTCAGCCATGAGAAGAATACAAATCCTACCATATGCAACAACATGGATGGAGCTAGAGGGTATTATCCTCAGTAAAATAAGCCAGGTGGAAAAATACAAGTACCGAATGATTTCACTCATCTGTGGAGTATAAGAACAAAAGAAAACTGAAGGAACAAAATAGCAGCAGACTCACAAAACCCAAGAAAGGTATAACAGTTACCAAAGGGAAAGGGACTGGGGAGGATGGGTGGGAAGGGAGGGAGAAGGGGGGGAAGAAGAAAGGGGGCCTTACGATTAGCATGTATAATGTGAGGGGGGTACGGAAAGGGCTGTGCAACACAGAGAAGTGATTCTACAGCATCTTACTATGCTGATGGACAGTGACTACTGGGGTATGTGGGGGGGACTTGGTGAAGGGGGGAGTCTAGTGAACATAATGTTCCTCATGTAATTGTAGATTAATGATTCCAAAATATAAAAATAAAGAAAAAGAAAAAACTCAAAATAGAAATACCATTTGACACCAGAATCCCACTCCTTGGAATATCCCTAAGGAATACAACTTCTCAGATTCAAAAATACATATGCACCCCTATGTTTATTGCAGCACTTTTTACAATAGCCAAGATAGGGAAGCAACCTAAGTGTCCATCAGTAAATGAATGGATAAAGAATAGGCGGTACATATATACAATAGAATACTAGTCAGCCATAAGAAAGAAAATCCTACCATTTGCAACAACATGGATGGAGCTGGAGGACATTATGCTCAGTGAAATAAGCAAGGTAGAGAAAGACAAATACCAAATAATTTCCCTGATTCGTGGAGTATAACAATGAAGCAAAACGGAAGGAACAAAATAGCAGCAGATTCACAGACTCCAAGAAGGGACTAGTGGTTACCAAAAGGGAGGAATGCGGGAGGGTGGAAGGGGAGGGAGGGAGAAGGGGATGGAGGGGTATTATGTTTAGCACACATGGTGTCGGGGATCACGGGGAAAACAGTGTAGCACAGAGAAGGCAAACAGTGAATCTGTGGCATCTCCCTACACTGATGGACAGTAACTGCATTAGGGTATGGGTGAGGACTTGATAATATGGGTAAATGTAGTAACCACAGTGTTTTTCATGTGAAACCTTTGTATATCTATAATTCCTTAATAAAAAATGTAAAAAAAAAGAGTTGAGACACACAGGATTATCAGGCTTGTGGAGAGATTTTATTTACATAGCAAAGAGCTGGAGTTTGGATTTAGGCCATTAGGTTTCCAAGGAGATCCTTTGAGGTGGAGTGGAAGACAGCTTTCTCCTCCCTCTTTATAAGTAGAGAAAAATTCGTTTTCCTTGTCTCTCATCTATGCAATACCTAGGTATTTATGTTGGAAACTTCCAATAGGCTCTCATTTATTCACCTGGGGTAGGACGTGAGTTAATAGAGTGATGACATGCTTATTATTAGGAACTCTTTTTTTGACCCAGAACACCTCATTTACACATTCAGGATAAAATTAACAAAGATAAGTATTAAGAACCTAACAGTAACCATGGCTCAAGAATAAGGACAAGCACTCTTGGAATGAGTAGAAACAGAAGTTCCCAGCAAAGAAACAGAAGGTACAAAAATAAAAAAAAGAACTGAATGACTTAAAAGAAGGTAGAAAAGGAGATATGGAGGGAATGAAAAAGAGAAAAGGCATAAAGAAAACTAATGATAAATTGGTAGGCATAAATACAAATACATACACGCTTCATTTAAATGTAAATGGTCTAAAAATAGCATTTAAAACAGAGATGGTCAGAATGGATAAAAATAAAAACAAAACCACACTACAGGCTATTTGTAAGTCCACAAGGAACAAAATGATCCAGGCAGATTAAAAATGAAAGGATGGAAAAAGATAAATGGTTCAACCACTTTTCAAAAAAGATTTGTAATGACTATATCACTACCACACAGAGCCAACTTCAGAACAAGGAAAATCACCATAGATTTTTAAAAAATCAATATGTAAAAACAATAATATATTGTAACCAAGTAAGGTTTATCCAGCAATGCAAGGCTGAACAGCTGAAAATTAATCAACATAATTCACCATAATCAACACAATTCTTAAAAGAAAAGCCACATGGCCCTATCAATAGAAGCAAGGAGGCATTTGACAAATTTCAACATTCACTCCAGATTTAAAAAAAAAACTCATAAAATAAGGAATGGCAGGAAACATCCTCATCTAATAAAGGAAATCTACAAGGTAAAAGCATTCTTAATGGTAAGATACTGAATGCTTTTACCCTAAGATCAGGGACAAGACAAGGGTATCTGCCCTCAGCACTCTTATTCAATATCATACTGGAAGTTCTAGCCAGTTCAAGAAGGTGTGAAAAAGAAATAGAAGACATTCTGATTAGAAAGAAAGCAATAAAAGTATCTCTATTCACAGACATGATTGTCTACATAGGAAATTTCAAGGAATCCATACATTAAGCATCAATTCATAAAAGGGCAATAGTATTTCTACCCACTAGCAATGAAAATGTGGAAACTAATGTTTTTTAAAAATCTATTTACAATAGCTAAAAAAATTAAATACTTAGGTATAAGCCTAACAAAATATGTTCAGAATCTTTTTACTAAAAATTAGAAAACATCAACGAAACATATCCAAATTACCTAAATAAATGGAGATGTGACATAAAAAGTTCATGGATTGGAAATTCACTATAGTTCAGATATCAATTTTTCCCAAATGAATTTATAGATTTAACACAGCCCAATTAAAGTCCATGCAGGATTTATTTAAGTTTAGTATAGCTCATTCTAAAATATATATGGAAAGGTAAAGGAACTATAATATCTAAAGCAATTTTGAAAATGAAATGCAAATGTGCATAGTATTTAACTTAAAGAGATTCTATAAAACTACAGTATTAAGTCAGAATAGAATTGGTAATAAGACAAACATAGAGATAATTGGAACAGAAGAGATACCCTAGAAATAGACCCACTCAGATATTACCAACCAACTTTTCACAAGTGTGCAAAGGAATTCAGTGGAGAGAGGGCAGTCTCTGCAACATATTGGCTAGAACAATTGGTATCCATGTTAAAAAAAAAATGTCCTCAACCTACATCTTACACCATATACAAAAAAAAATAAGTCAAAACGTAAATGTAAACTGATATAAAATGTAAAACAATAAACTAAATGTAAAAAAAAACAATAAAATTCTTAGGTAAAAACAAAGGAGAAAATATTTATGACCTTGGGTCAGGGAAGAGTTCTTAGGTATGTCAAAATCATGATCTGTAAAAGAAAACAACTGTGAACTAGATTTCATCAACATGAAAAAGGTTTCTGCTCTATTAAGTACAGCTTTAAGAGAATAAAAAGACCAGCCACAACCTGGAAGATAGTATTTGCAAATCACATATCAGAATAAGGAATTGTATCCAGAATATCTAAAAAACTCTCAAAACTAAACAATAAATAAACAACCAAAATTTTTAAAGGGCAAATTTTAAAAGATATTTTACCAAAGAAGTTCTATGGATGACAAATAAACACATGAAATATGCCTAGTATCATTCATCATTAGAGAAAAGCATATTAAATCACAATGAGATACCATTACACACCTATTAGAATGGTTTAGAGGAAGAATGGGAAGAAATAGATAACTCAAACACTTCTTGTGGGAATATAAAATGACATGGCCACTCTGGGAAACAGTCTGAGAAGTTCTTATCAACCTAAGCATACACTTACCATGTAAGCCAAGAAACTAATTATAGGTATTTATCCTAGAGAAATGAAAACTAATTTTTGCACAAAAACCTGTTGGTGAATATATAATTCAACATTATTTATAACTGTCCCAAACTGGAAATAATACAAATATCCTTTAAGTGTACATGCATACAGAAACTGGTTTGTATATTTACACTATAGAATACTACACAGCAATGTAAAAGGACAAATTATTGATATATGCAACAACATGGATGGATCTCAATGTATAATTAAGTGAAATAACCCAGTCTCAGAAGAACACATGATGTGTTAATGCCATTTATATGACATTCCAGAGAAGGCAAAAACAGAGGAAGAGAGAAAAATCAGTAGTTACCATGGGTTATGGATGGAGAGGGTCAGAGTACAAAGATGCTGTTATGCGAGAATTCTCTGGCAATGTTCACTGTTTTCTGTTTCCTGTTTGTGGTGATGGTTACAAAAATCTATGTAAGTATAAAAACTCAGTATTGTACAGCAGAAAAGTGGATTTTACTCTATGTAAATGTGAAAAATGACAAAAGGTTTTAAAAAGTCTTCTGAGGACTTTAACTTGCATTGGAAGAAAACTCTCAGGATTTAAAGAGTACAATAAAATGTTTAAATTGCACACCACTTAAAGTCTATATGCAAACCTGGTTTATCAAGCAGGAAAAGAACTAAAAAACTAGAGGCAATCAAGTAGCAAGAATTAGAAGCCAATATATATAGGCTCCTCCATAAAAAATTAATTGATGTAAGTGCTTAAAATTCCTCACTACCACCCAGGTATGGATGGGAGAGTGTGGAGAACAAGATTTACTTGAGGAATGAGGTGAAAGACACTGGAGTAACCTAGTGTCTGCTTCAAACAAAGGGTATGGTAATTTGCCTGATGCAATGACAACCTTGATATTTGCAGTTCTGTTCAGCTCTCTTCCTAAATACTACCTGGAATAGAAGATCAATATTCATCAATACCTCTTCAATGGCACCTGCAGAAATCCTGTGACCTGCAACATTGATTACATCATCAACTCGAGACATAACATACAGATAGCCTTCTTCATCCATGTAACCAGCATCCATAGTGTCATAGTATCCCTAAAATAAGAATAAATAATGTCTAATTAGCATGTATCATTTGGTAATACAATCATTTTAAGCTTGGCATAATATAAAATGTGATAGAAATGGATTTATTATGTGCATTGACTTTTTTTCTAGGCTATGGGATTAAATTCCTTCTGATTTTGATAGCTGACTACAACCTCTTTGCTCCTCTAACCACCAGTAATAAATTGAAATGTTCTTATATGTGTTCAAGTTAAAAGTTTGAACCTTGAGTTGTAAAGTTTAGGAACCTAATTTCTTTCTTTTAATGGAGAAGTAATAGCTCAATATTTCCAATACACTTTGGTTTTGCAAAGTAATTCTTTGATAGATTTCTTTAATTGTATTAATTTTTAAAAGCCTTAAAGTTCTATATGAATAATATAAAACAGAGCACTAGTTTATTAACATGAATTTGGATTGGACTCCAGCTTCAGTGAAATATAATAGTAAGTATGAAATTAAATTTTTAATAAACTGAAAGTAGCAGCCCATGTTCACTGGTCCAGGAGTCACATGGAATGAAGAATCAAGATTAAGAAGTAGAATCAAATAAATATTACTTCTTCTAATGTTTCTGAGTTATCTTTGTTTATGAGTGTGGGCTTTTTGACAAATCCAGGTGAGTTACTATTTGTGTTTCTTAATCTTCCTGAGATGCCATGTTATAGAATCCTGACCTGAGTATCGCCTTTTGAATAAGCCCACCCACCATCTCAGAGAGACCTAGGTGTCATCTTACCCAGGCTACAAGCATCCTCCGAGAGGACACGTCAGCAAGCCACAAGCCCACCTTTCCCTGATGCCTCCCCTAAAGAGCCCATCAAAAACCCCAGCCACAAAAAGCCTCTTTTCCTGTTAGAGACCCTTCTTTTCCTTTGTTCTGCTGGCCAGAGCAAAGGCGTCCCTCTCAAGTTTAGCAATAAACCTGCTTGGACTGTTGAGTTCACATTCCTTCTTATCCTTTCATCAATCCCCTCTTTTTCCTGTCACCGTGTGTTCATCTGTTAAATGGGGTAATGAGCTACATTGTATAAGGCTTCTGTAAAGCATAAATGACATGGTGAATATCAAGAGGGCAGTCCCTCTTGCAGCATGAGCCCTCAGTAAATTGCAGCTCCTACCACACCTGTCACTGTTGCCATTACTGTTAGAGAGACAATCTAGAGAGTGGCTAAAGAGCATGGACTCTGGAGTCAGACTACATGGGTTCAAATGTCAGCTCCATCATTTCTAAGCTATGGGCAAGTTACTCAACTCTGCCCTTTGATGAGAAGTTTGAGGTCATGGTAACAAGGCATAGTATAGAGTCACTGCATAAAGTTAATCCTAAACTGGGGCTTTGAAGGAGCTCTCAGTGTTAAAGACGATCATGTGAAGACCACATGCACATATTATTTGCCATTGACAAGTTGTAATTAATCTTGCCAGTACTCTGATGATTTAACTGTGGCCCATTAAGCAGATAGATTGGGCTGACTAGAGTCAGGCATACTGACAAATCTTCCCTTCCATACTCCCTGGGGGGCATGTTTAATTTTAGCTACGGAGGTCATTCAACTCAGTCTTTTTCTAAAGGCAGCTATTTTAATTTCTGTCATTTGTCTTGTTGATGAGGTTAGCTGTCCTTCACTCACGAATAATAAAGATAAAATGCTAAATACTTAAGACTAATTTTTTAATGAAATTCTGTCATTCATTTTTTTTTACTTGGTACATAATGAGGACCAAGGTCTCTCTCAAAGAAAGAAAAGGACAGCAAAAAGACAATGGGGGGAGCAGATGTGCATTATCAATAAAGCTCTATTACAGACACAAACACATGATGTGGCATGGTGACGAGCAAATGACAAAATCGAAAACAGGAAGACACTTCATTATTTGGGGCACTGGAACTTGGGCTTTGGGCACCCTGTCTCTATCTGTATTTTAAATAGAATTTTAAAGAAAAAGCTAAGATAACATTCAGTAGAGAATGTCAAAAATAGGAAAAGGAATGGAAAAATACAAATTCAGGGCAAAAATATTGCTCATATAAGCAGGGATAGAGATTAAGGGGTCCTAGTGACAGTGTAAATTCTGATCAGGTGCTCCCAGTCTGAGCAGAGGAACTCAAGGGAAGGAATAATATAAAAAGTCCAAAAAATATTTTAATTTAATGACAAAAAAAAATTCCTGATATTGGGTGCTGTTAAATTCCAGGAAAATCTGCTAAGAGAAACTGAGAAATTTCTGTATTCAGAGACTAATAAAAATAAATACAAAAATGACTTATTTAGACAAGTGTCATGTTGGCATTCTTGTTCCTGAGATCTAGACACAGGTCTAGATAACCTTTAAAAGTTGCTTTGTTATCTGTGATTCTAGGTTCAACCTGATCAACTTAATTGTAAATAACTATAGAGAAGTACTTAATAAGGTTAAAAAAAGTATAATTAAGTTCTTACAGGAAACTTCTCAAAGTATAAATGCTTGAATGCTTCCTGATTCTTCCAGAGTCCTGAGAAAGCCCCAGGTGGTAATGGCAACCTAATATAAAAACAGAACAGTTAGAATTATGATGAAAGTGAGGATAAAGACAGATTGACTAGAATAGTTTTCCAGTGTGATGGATAATTGCAATTCAAATCCCATGTTAAAGTGCAACCCCTAAATCTACCCGACAGATCCTGTCAACTGAAGCGGAAGTAGCAGACCATGACATAGCAGAGTCACTGAGGGGCACAACTGTAGCTTCCGGAAAGGGTGCAAAATGTACACACCGTTGGCATTCAAATACTGATTAGCAACAGTCATTTTTCAATAAAAAGCACAACATTCTGCAAAAAGGAACCCAAAAAATGCATCAGCAAATTACTTTTTAGGAGAAATATCCTTCCACCATAGGCAGGTAAATTTGTTATTTTTGAAGTACCAAGGTACCAACTGCTACCTTTGCCTGTCTATGTAACGGAATGCTCCAGTGCAGCACCCCATGGACAATCTTACCTTCACAATCAATCTGCCTCCCCACCCTGGGAATTCCTTCTCACTACTACCTCTTCTATTCTTCCTTTTCATGACAGCCCAACCCATGAGATTTCTCACTCCTATGAACACATGGAGCCACTTCATGCAGGTTTAATGATGGAACAGTATTTGTAACAGCATCTCTATAGTTTTATTACAGATTACAAGATGTTTGATATGCATTTTATGTAATTATGTAAGGTCCAGAAATGCAGGCCTCCTTAAAAAAAGTATGCCTAGCAAGGGAGGACCCCTAGACATGGCTAGACGTGGTGGATATGGACAACCATGACTGGGTGGCCAATCCCACTTTGTAACAGCATTTTCTTGCTGACACAATGTGTGAATACAATTCAGGAAGGAGAAATTCAAAGCCAAACACCATTGCTAAGGAAGGAGAAAAGAAAGGCAATTGAATAAAAACAGCAAAAACAAAATCAAAGATGTATGAGAAATAGGAGAAACTCCTACTTTAGGAGCCACCAGATTCAACATGGTCAAATGAAGGGCAAATTTAGTTTGAAAGTGAATCCAACAGAGGACCTATAATTTAGTAAGGGGCATATAATGGTCTTAATGAAAAGCAGAAGAGAGGTTTACAGAATTGGAAGTATTTGTGCTTTTTATATATATATACATACATACACACACATACACATATATAAAAAGTGTGATTATATATATGAAAAAAAACATGTGAGACTAGAAGCAATAAGCCCTAGAAAGCAGTTAGGTATATATGAGCCAGAGCAGAACTTTTTTTGCAGAACCCCAAAAGAACCCCTTCTCTTGCTAATATCCTAATGGGTATTCTAGATTAAATTAGATTAAATGCAGTTCTTCTCTCTGGAATAGTGGGTGCGCTGCGGCTTTCTCTGAAATTATAGAAAAAGAAAACTTTTTTTCTGTAGTTACAGTAACATACAAATACATAAATACATTGGCCTGGGAGGAAGGAGGGAAAGACATGAAAATGCTAAGAAATATGCTGGTCAGTCTGTACTCATCCTGCAAATCTAAGATAAAACATTACCACCCCGTGACACTTTTCCCAACTCTCCCAAACAGAATGAAAGGAGGACTTTTGTTACAACCCATCCAGTTGCGAATCAGAAGGTTGGGAACGCCCTTTCCAAAGAGACCACCCTAAGGGGACGAGGAGCGCCCGCGCATGCGCGTGGAGTAGTGAAGCCGGGGATCAGCGTGCTAACGAACCCTTAGGTAGCTAAGAAAGGAAGAGAATGTCCATCGCCAGGGACCGTAACACATTCCTGGCCAACCTAAAGTGTAAAACTCTTAGATGCCTCCAATCCCACAGAGGATGGTCCATTTTCATGGTTCCCTCAGGAATCCCCATGGTAACAGAAAGAGAGGACATAATTCCTGTTCCCTAGAGAATTCTGGAATTAGTTCCCAATTATGCACTCCCAGTATTTTCTTTGGGGTATTAGGCTTTACTTGGGATTTTCATATGAAGCTACTTTTCATCTCCCCCAAAAGAGTCTGATTAGGCCATAATTTCTTTCTCTCTGGACAGACAAAAGATTGGGTAATAAATAAGAGTTCTAGCTATGAAATTATTAATGATGTTTAGACCCCCGTGTCTAAAATGAGGATAATAACTGCCCCACCTCACAGTGTTGTTGTAAGGCTAATAAAAGACCATACCAAGATCCGTGTATGAGAAAAGGTACAGGATGACGACTGTGTGACATTCTTGGTTTTCCTCGGAGCACACACGAGTGAGAAGAAAGCTGTCCCGACCATTTCCCAGGACGGCAGCTGAGTGACTCAGTCACTCCTGCAAGGCCGTAAAGATGTGAACAAACACCAGTAAAGACCAAGGGCTCCATACTTGGAAGCTGAGAGACTGTCAGGCACCAGCGTAAAAGCCACCAGACAATGCCCATGCTCGCTCAGGCCCCATCACTGCCTGCAGGGCACAGGCCCACGGGACACTGCCAGTGGCCGTTCAAGAGCAGCAACAGGAAATGGTCAGAGAAAAATGTACGCGCGTGAGGAAGGCCTTTCATTTCATTTCGTTTGTTTTTGTTTTTTTAGAAAACCGAATACTGTGGAAAAGATTTATTACTCTGTCTAGGTTAGCAGCCAATGAACTATTGGCTACTTGTTACAGTAGCCAGAAACCTCTGGCTTTAATAACAGCACTGTGGTCCCCAGAAAGGCAATTTCTCTTATAATTTCCTTTCATGCTCTGCTCTCTATTGCCTGGAAATTTCTGACTCATAGTTTTGTTTCTGCACATTAGAGCTCTGGATGCAATTGCAGGAGAACATCCTAAAATTCATGAACATTTTGTATTCATAGCAATTCAGATACTATAACCTTCCCACTAAATAAAACTGCCTAGGGCAAACGGTTTCAAAATCAAAGGAATTTTCTAACATCCATGCAGACATGCAAGTTTTCTCTTCTACTAAAAAGATAAACCCTATGAAAGCAAGGAATCTACAAAACCTATGGGATTCATGCTTTTTACACCCTAGGGTCTACAGTCGTTTAAGAATTACTAAAATGTAGTTCTTCTAGTTCAAGATGCTCAGAAAGGCAAAGCAGTGATTTCTACAAAGCTTTAACAAAAGGGGTGAAAAAAACCCACAATGGATCAAAACGTTTTTTCAAAATTTGCATATAACACTGTTTCTGATTTGGGGGTGAATCATCTTACTATGATAAAATGAATCATTACACTTATCTCATAAAGGATGGAAATATAATCCTAGCTCTAGATTTTAAAGAAACTGCCAAAGATAGTTTCCAATGTTATTTATACTGTTCATAACAGATTTTATAGTGAAACAAAGAGCTATACCCATACTTATAAAAAAAATAAAAAAACAAGTCTGGGAATAAAACCATAGGAATCATCAATTTTTTAATTGACTTCATAATAGTTTGAGCCCCATACATTTCAAATTCTCCATGCAGAGTCTCCCCTCTATTATTATAGTAATTATATTATGAGTATAATTAATGAGCATAAATTGCATTAGGGAATACTACTTTTCAAAGAATAGTTACTATATAAGAATAGTTATTATTCAAAGAATAATAACAAGTGTTATTATACAAAGTAATAAAGAAAAGCATGGGCATGAATAATCAAGGAGAATGGACATGTGTCTCTTTGACCAGGTATCACTCCTAGTGGTGGCTCTGATGACAGGCTCAGTTTGAAGTCCCTCATGGACCCTAGTCACTCTTATTACTGGTGGCCTCACCCAATATTCCTCCGAAGATAATAAAACATAACAATACACCATCTAACCTAGAATATTTCCTGAAAGAAAAGTTAAAATTTTGTTTTTGAAATGATTTGGCAAGAAGCCCCACATTTAATTTACCATTCATTATTGTGTTTCTTGGCAATCACTGTACATATTCAGGAATTGTGGGAAGTGAGAAAATACAACCTAAATAAAATGAAAAACTTATGAAGACTAAATTTACAGTGAAGTTATTATGGTGTTAATTTTATAGCTATTTAATTAAATGTGTTCACTTTCATTATAAATTTCTCAAGTTTGGGGATCAATATATTTCTTAAAAGCTAGAATCTCAGGTATTTCATAGACCCTGAACACCATCCATGTATAATCCCTAATCAAACACCTTTTACAGGCCACCAAGTTGTTTTAGGGGCCCACCTGGCTGATCTCTGGAAAGAACCTTATTTAGTTTCACTGTTAACTTTAGGGAGGAATCAGAGTCCATTGCATAGCATAATATATTGTATCCTAAAATAATTTATATAGAAATATCAGAATCACAGACCTGTACAATAAATTCCTTGTTTAGGAATACAGAGAGAAGAACATCATTTGAATTGGTAACTATCTAAACCACAGAATGCTTTACGGCAACTGTGCTACTTCCTAAGATTTTGAAGTAACATTAATGGCTACAAGAAAAATATAACTTATATGCGCTATTGCTATATTTTATTATTTTTGAATGGATGTAGGGCAACGCTATTAATGATTACAGTGACAAAATGCACCAAATGCCACCTCTAGGACCTTACAGGAGTTGTTTTATGAAATAGATGACTCACTTAGAGTTAGGAATTTATGTAAAAAGGTTATATAATGAAAAGACACTATATCATCCGCCACGTAAACAAAAAGGACAAAAACCACATGATCATCTCCATAGATGCTGAAAAAAACATTTGACAAAATTCAACATCCATTCATGATAAAAACTCTCAACAAAATGGGTATAGAGGGCAAGTACCTCAACATAATAAAGGCCATATATGATAAACCCACAGCCAACATCATACTGAACAGTGAGAAGCTGAAAGCTTTTCCTCTGCGATCGGGAACAAGACAGGGATG